ATCCAAATCAGGCCAGAAATGACAAAGTTACAGGCTGTTTCAAGTTTCCCCATTATAGCTTATGGGTAAAACGTTGAAACAGTGTCAAAGCAGCAAAATGGTTTTGACGAGACGAAACGGAACAGCAGTTTCAAATCGAAATGAAATTCAAAATTAAACACTGTTCCATCAAAACGCAAGTTGAAACAGAATGGTGCCATTTCGCACAGCCCTATAAATAAGCCCAATTCCATCAGTCTTTCCGCATAAGTCATGTCTCCCAGCCCCCTCACTATTTTTGTTGCCCTCCACTGGACTCTCTCCAATTTGTCCACATTTTTTCTGTAGTGGGGGGCCCAAAACTTGCACCAGGAGGGAATATGGGACAGAAGTTCCATAAACTGGTTTGACCTAAATCAGCTAAGTCTGATACTACATCCAACCAGGTTTATCTTAAACCATTTTTGGTAATTTTGAAAGTAGTTTAAGTGCACTGAATATCTGTTCTGTTACAGGTTTAAACCAGTTTCTGATCTCTTAAACCAGTTTGTGTGCAACTTCTGTCCCTAATCAATATGAAATTTTCATAGGATGCTACCAAGATAAGCTTGCTTCATTAGAGAGAAAGAGAGAGAAAAGATAAGGAAAGAAAGAATTCATAAAGGTCATGGCCTAAAAGAAGCTGGAGAGTTACTTTTTCCTTGTGCTAGTTTTATTTTTTCAATTAATTACACAGCACACCAGTTCCCAACTCCCGTCTGGAAACCACACCAGATCTGCAAAGCCATGGGAGGAAATACTGAAAGTTAAACAGTGGTCTGTTGGTTTACAGCATTTGGAAACTCCTGGAATAAACTATTACAACAGAAAAATGACTCTGGAAATGAAGTACAGTAGCCCAACAGAGGTGCAGGGCATAACAACAACAACAATGTATTTCATCTGCAGCTAGTACTTACAGGGCACATCTATATGGCATGCCCACTGTGCAGTTGTTACTGAGCAGTCATTTAGTACTTGCATAACCAAATACTAAATTACTGCACAGTAACCGGCATTACTGCACAATACTTTCATGCCACAGTTGCTTGGTGATGCTTTCTGTGCAGTAGTTCATTTTTACTGTGCAGTAGCACCACATCACAGTTCATGCCTGGCAACACTACTGTGCAGTAGTAATGAGCTACTGTGTAGTAGTGATGAGACACTTACTGCACAGTAGCTTATTACTATTGTGCAGTAAGCATGTCATCTAGGCACACCCACAGTGTATTATATATGTGCATCATGGACACATAGATTAAACAACTGTGTAGTGTTTGGTCTCAGTTTGAACTATTAAAAATGTGTTGTTATTAGTACCTTCTAGTTTTGTTAACCTTTACATCTAACTACTGTTAACTAAGAAGAAAAAAAAAAGTAGTAAGCACTCTGTCAAAAAAGGAGATAGCAGAGTCCATCATTAAAAGCTAGCTAAGTAGAATGACTTCTTTCCCTTACCCATTTCAGACATCTCTGGCACAGTAACAATGTATGGTCCATCTGTAAATCTGGGTGCATTGTCATTGATGTCCTGCACTTTGATAATGAATTCAGATTCAGGCTCGAGAGGCTTGTTTGTTCGTCTGTCAATAGCCTGGGCATGCAGCACATAGTGTGTTTTCTGCTCTCGATCCAGGCTTTTGGTTGAATGAATGTCTCCTGTAGTGTCATCAATAATAAATATAGTTCCAGCCCCTTCTCCAGTAAGGATGTACTTGACTGATCCATCACCTTTGTCGGAATTGGAGTGTAGCTGTAAAATATAGATACAATAATATCATGAAACATGATATACGTAGTATCAGCTTAAACCATACTTTCTTGCATATAATACCTGCAATAAAACATGCACCTTCTTTTGGGAAGGGAGAATGAAGAAAAAAGATTTTTTTTCCAGAGTTATGGCTGCATAGAGCAGGTTCAGAGCCTAATCTTCAGTTGACTCACCCTTCTTTTCCTGCTTAACTAAAAGCCAAAACCCTAGCTGCTGCTACAGACTGTTCTCCATGGGTAGATCTATGATTTTAAAAGAAAGAGTCTCAAGGCCTTGAAACAGGAAAAGAAAAATGAAGAACAGCTAGCAGGCAGCAAAATTGCCCTTGAATGGTGAAACAGGAAAAGCATTAAAAAGGAGAGATTTACATGCATTTCTTAAAATTACATAAAAATTGCAATTTATTGGGTCAGACCATAGGTCCATCTTCCCTAGTCTCCTGTGTCAGATAGGGTGAGTGAATGATGAAAGGGGTAGTGAATATTGTACAACCAGGATTTGTTTCATTGTTCCTCTCTCACTTGCAGGCTCCATTATTTGAGGTATTTGAAGTTCTAATTCAGAGCTATATCCCTAATTCCCACACTCAATAGCAACTGATGCACCTTTCCTCCAAAAATCTGTCCAATCCCTTTCTGAATCAGACTAAACTGTCAACGTCTACAACATCTGGTGGCAGCAAGTTTCATACTTTAATTACATGCTACGTAAAAGAGAACTTAGTTAGTTTTAAACTTACTACCTAATAGTATCACTTTGGGCATTTATATACACATACTGTTTTGTTCTGTGATGTGCCAGAGATCTTCTGCCTCAGAGCACACTCGATTAATTGAGTCTGCTGTGCAAATGAGTTGATGTGGACTTCACTGTGCTGCGTGCAGTTGTATAAGTGGCGAAATGCGTGTTAGCACACAGAAAATGGTGGCGGCACGCTTCTGAACTAAAGCACCTTCTAGGTGTTTTAGTTCAAAAGTGCATCGCTGCCATTTTCTCAGCACTGATGCGCATTTCATCGTTTATACACCTGCAAGTGTTGCAGTGCCGGATGCTTTTCAAAGCACTCGGCACTACAATGTGTAAAAATGCCCTGTGTGACCCCTTAGTTCCTGTATTGTGAGAGATGGTAAACAATAAAACCCTACTTATTTTTATTTTAACATTTAATATTTTGTAAACCCCTATCATGTCCCCCCTCAAGCACCTCTTTTCTAAAACGAATAGATTTAGCCTCTTTAGTCTCTCCTCATACGGAAGCCCCTCCATAGAATTAATCATTCTTGTTGCCCAACTCTGTATCTTCTCTAGTTCTTCTTTATCCTTTTTGAGGTGCGGGGATTGGAACTGGGCACAGAATTCAAGGTGTGGATGCACCATGTATTTATAAATGGGCAATTATAAATTATTGTTAGCACCTGTGAAGTGAAGAACAAGGATGTTTTGAATCAATTGACTCCATCAGCTGCCTGAGTAAAGCAAATGTTTCTCTGTGGAGCAGAAAGTAAGGGTGCTTGCAGAAGTTATACTTTTCGGAGTGTAACACACTACAGATGTAAAGTAACAAATATTAACACCTCCAGAGTGCTTTTAAAATGGCCAATCATGCAAAAAAAAACCAACCCAAAACCTTTATCTGATGAAGTATAAGGTAAGGATGCTCTAAGATAGAGCACATTTAGGGAACAAGTGTATACGTACCCTGCGAGGGTTAATAATTTCCCCACCCAAGGTTCTTGACAATGGCAGCATCATGGCTGCTGCAGCCAGAGCTAAGGCTGTGGCAGTGGAGGGGGTGGGAGGAAAGGTGGAGAAGGGGACAGGGGGGAGCCGGGCCAGGCCCATGAGTTGGGGAGGCTCCATTTCACCCTCCACCCTAACTCATGCAAGGGGTAAGGGAGGGAAAGTAGAACCACCCACCACCTTGCAGGCCCAGCCCAGGACCCTGAAGACCCCAACAGGAGTAGCTGGGGGGGCACATGTGGCGGGAGGGGGGCTCCCTTTTCCTACCCCCACCACCTGTGCGAGTGTCCTGACAGTGGCAGAGACTGGTTTGCCCACAGCTGGGGAAATGGAGCACCCCTGCTTCATGGGCCCAACCCCACTACCCCTGCCGAGGTTTTGGGGGGAGCTAGGCCAAGCCCGTGAGGCAGGGGGAATCCATTTCCCCCACACCCTAGCTTCAGCCACAGCAGCCTTTGCTTGCTCAAAACACTTGTGCAGGAGACAGGGGGGAAGGAAGGCGACTCCTGGCTTGTGGGCCCACCTTGGCTCCCTCCAAGACCTGTCCTTCCCGTTCCCCACTTCCCCTGCACCCTCCCATGCAAGCTGGCAACAGTTGCCAGTTGACGGGGAAGAGTGTGGTGGTTGGGGACAGTGGTGGGCTGACAGCTGCCTGGGAGGCTGCTAGAGTGGTCCCACCTGCTGGTCAAGGACAACGCAGGCAGGCTCAGAGCCCCTGCCCACCCAACAGGCTTTGTTTCAATCACCCTGAGTTACCCTGACAGACTGCCTGCACTTGTGTCAGCACTCCAAGGAAGAATGTTTCTATTTCAAGCAGAAAATCAGTTTTCCTCTTAAGACAATTATTTCAATTTTGGGGGTCCATGTTTTGAAAAAATGGTGTGTGGTATGCAAGTAAGCATGGTATCTTATCAAAAATTCAGTAACGCATTATATGTCATTTGTACACTTCTAAAAGGATGTTGAACTCCTTGCTGCTGTAATGTCCCATGCACCAGTTAAAGACAAGTCATAATCATTCTTATATGGGTTATTTTGGCCAAGGTATAATGCATATCCTGGTCACAGAATGACAGAATCATAGAAAATTAGGGTTGGAAGGGATCTCAGGAAGTCATTTACTCCAATCTCCTGCTCAAAGCAGGACCATCCCCAATTAGATCATTCAAAACAGGGCTTTGTCAAGCCAGGATGTAAAAAACTCTGAGGATGGAGATTCCACCATGTCTCTAAGTAACCAGTTCTAGTGCTTCACCACTATCCTAGTGAGAAAGTTTTTCCTGATATCCAACCTAAACCTCCCTTGCTGCAACTTGAGACCATTACTTCTTGTTCTGTCATCTGCCACCACTGAGAATATTTTAGCTCCATCCTCTTTGGAACCACTCTTCAGGTAGTTAAAGGCTACTATCAAATCCCCCCTCAGTCTTCTCTTCTGTAGACTAAATAAGCCCAGTTCCCTCAGCCTCTCCTCATTATGTGCCCCAGCCCCCTTACCAGTTTTTTTTGCTTTCTACTGGACTCTCTCCAACTTGTTCACATCCTTTCTATAGCAAGGGGCCCAAAACTGGACACAGCACTCCAGCTGTAGCCTCACCAGTGCAGAATAGAGTAGAAAAGTCACTTCCCTTGATCTACTGACAATGCTCCTACTAATACAGTCCAGTGTTGCCATTATCGTTCTTGGCAACAAGGACACTGCTGACTCATTTCCATCTTATTGTCCACCGTAACCCCAAGGTCCTTTTCTGCAGAGCTGCTGCTTAGTTAGTCAGTCCCCAGGCTGTAGCAGTGCACGGGATTCCTCCATCCTAAGTGCAGGTCCCTGTTGAACCTCATGAAATTTCTTTTGGCCCAATCCTCCAATTTGTCTAGGTCACTCTGAATCCTAAGCCTACCCTCCATTGTATCTACTACACCCCCCAGCTTGGTGTCATCCACGAACTTGCTGAGGGTGCTATCCAGCCCATCTTCCAAATCATTAATGAAGACATTGAACAAAAGCAGCCCCAAGACCAACCCCAGGGGCACTCCACTTGATACTAGCTGCCAGCTAGACACTGAGGCATTGATTACTACCCATTGAGCCCAACACTCCAGCCAGCTTTCTATCCACCTTACGGTTCATTTATCCAACCCATACTTCCTCAGCTTGCTTATAAGAATGCTGTGGGAAACAATATCAAAAGCCTTCTTAAGTCAAAGTACATTACATCCACTGCTGTCTCTGCATCCACAGAGCCAGACATCTCATCAAAGAAGGCAATCATGCTGGTCAGGCATAACTTGCCCTTGGTGAAGCCATGCTGACTGTTCCTAATCACCTTCTCCTCCTCCATGTGCTTACATTTTTTGAAGACTTGTTCCATGATTTTTCCAGGGACCAAGGTGAAGCTGACTGGTCTTTCATTCCCTAGAGCTTCCTTCTTCTCTTTCTTAATGATGGGCACTATAGTTGCTCTTTTCCAATAGTCTGGGGCCTCCCCCAATTACCATGAGTTTTCAAAGATAATGGTCACTGGCTCTACAATCACATCAGCTAGCTCCCTCAGCACCCTCAGCTGCATTGTATCTGGCCTCATGGACTTGTACACATCCAGATTTTCTAAACAGTCCCTAACCTGTTCTTTTACCAATGAGGGCTGTTCACCTTCTCCCTAGACCGTGCTGCCTACTGCAGTAGTCCAGAAGCTGACCTTGCCTGTGAAGACTGTGGTAAAAAAGCCATTGAGTAGTTTAGCCTTTTTCTCATCACCTGCCAGTACATTGACTCCCCCATTCAGTAAGGAACCCACACTTTTCCTTACATTTCTCTTGTTATTAATATACTTGTAAAAATCTTTCTTGTTACCCTTCACGCCCCTTACTAGCTGCAACTCCAATTGCACTTTGGCCATAGGCGGAGGGAGAAAAAAAATATTTTCTGGGGGGAGAAGTTGCTGGGCATGTATGCTTGCACTCACCCCCACCCAGCAGGTAAGTCTGTGGGGATGGCATGAGGGGAGGGGGAAGGACAGTGGGGTGGCAGATAGAGGCCCCTGCAGTAAGAGAGGTAGTGAGGCAGAGGCAGGGGCAGGGGCAGGGGCCAGGGTGAATGAGGCCTCAGCCAGGGTGGGTTGTGGAACAATTGGAGCTCAGGCAGCTTGTCCAGGGTCCCAGGGGGGGCTCCTGCCATTACATGCACCCCAGCAGAGATCTGGGGCACATACAAGATATCATCTCTACTATGAGTCTTGATT